GGCATTTGCACATATTCTATATCAACATAAAATAGTATTACAGATGTTATCATTTGTAAAAAAGAAAGAAATAAATTCAGTAATTTAAAAAAAAATACATGCTATATTGATGTAATTAAAGGTCAAATATTAATTAAAATCAAGACGTTTTAAAAAACATTATTAAATACAATAAAAGTAGTTAAATAACTATATATATTTTTCAAAAAGTGTAATTCTTTAACTAAATATATATAGCTTATGCAGGATAAGAAAGTGCATGTACCACATCGAAAGGAAGCGCACATCATGCATTTATTTCCTCGACAATACAAAACAGCAATCCATTAGACCAACAGATATTAGCATGTATATTTCAAATTCACGCAGACACTGCAAAGGTGCAATTGGACAAAAATCTCTATTCGTTGAAGTGGATGGTGGGAATTCGCGCCTCCCAATGCCAAGCTTTCTTTGAGCCAAATAAACGACAACAAGAAAGATAGAAAAAGAAAGACAAAACGACAACAGAAATAGCTAAAAAACTTTCCATCGTTCAAATACGTATTATTATCTGCTGAAAGGAAAATCGTAAAAACCCGAAATAGGTATTGTGTTGACTAGGACGTTCTTTCGTCACCTTCTCATTTTATCAAGTATTTTTCAAATTACTATTTTATTTTATCGAGGTGGGGCCGAGGAGCGTTTAAACAGTGACCGCATACGCGCACATTTGGCCATTAGTTCATTACCTTAACCCCGCTCCTCTTCCTTTTCTGCCTCTCTTCATATTCCAAGTCAAACACTTATTAACTCACTCTTTCAGCTCTTCAGAAGCCAACACACCCATTCAAATCCAATCCTCGTTCTCCTTCTGCTTCTTTTATTTTCCATCACACTAACTTAAGATATTTCATTCTTCTTTCTTCTTTCGGGGTAAGTTTCTTTCTTTTTTCTCTATCTATTTCTTCATGTTGTGTTATGTATCAGTGTGTCAACTTAGGTGTTGCTAAAGTTGTGTTCTTGGACCTGAAGTAGTAGTTAGTACATTCTATTTTCTTACTGCTGTTTGATTTCGGAGTTCTTTCTGTTTGATTTTGAAGTTCATGAGGCAGTTCATTTTGTTTTAAACTAAATTTAAATGAGAGTATATTCACAGTCTCAATATAGTAGTCTAATCCTTTTCCCATTCAAATATTTCATGTTTGGCTGTTTATCAGACTATATAAATTACAATAACTTCTTAGGCAATGGTAATGCTGATAAAGAATAACACAAAACAGAGCAGTTCAGTTGTGTTTGATATTATAAAAGGAAAGGGAAATAAATTGAATGATATCATTTGATTAGAGAATCGAGTTTGAAATACAAGAAAGTCTGTGTTTAGCAACAGGGCAAGGACTCGCTAACAAACTTGTATAGCTAGAATAACTTACTAAAACTACTGACAGAAAGCTTATCTAAAATCAACAAAAACACCAGAATTTAAAGTTCCTTCATCTTTAGCTACAATGATTCAGATAAACCATGTTAAAGAGAAAAAAAAAGATTACTGTGCAATACTATACTGCGGATGAAAACACCACATTTTGGTTACAGGGTGTATTTTTATTTGATTACATTACATGTTGAACAATGACATTTTTTTTATTTTAAGGTGTATTTGTGGGTGGTTTCTTTGGTTCGAATTTATTTTATTATAATAACAATACTATAAATGCTTTTTACCTGATAGTCGAATGATGTGAGCAGGGTAAAATTTTGAGATGGATCGCCGGGGTTGGCTCTGGAAGAAAAAATCATCTGATAAAAGCATCAAGGTTGAGGATGAGAAACCTGTCTCTTCTTATGAATCTGTTGTTCCAACCTTGTCTTCTGTGGCACGTGTAGATAAGGTATTTTGTTCTTTTTAGATATTCAGGAGGGAAAACGTTTTTACATGAAGTCACTTGCTACATTTCTCACTAGCCTTGTTTTTTTCTGACTTTTTTCAGCAAGACAATAGCAAAAATAAGAACTATGTTCAGATATCCATGGAGTCGTATACTTATATGTCTGGATTGGAAGATCAAGTTGTAAACTTGGAGGATCAACTAAAAGCTTTGGAAGCAAAGCTATCTTCAGTTCATACAGAATTAAATAACAAGGATAATCTAGTTAAACAGCATGCAAAAGTTGCAGAGGAAGCAGTGTCAGGTAATTGTCATATACAAAAATGTACATAATTCCACGTAACTATTTGTCCGAAAACTGCTCAGCTACAACATTTTGCAATGACTGGATCAGTCATTCAATGACTATATTGCACTCGTTTGGTGTTGGTTAATTAAGCTTTATATGCATTTTAGGTTGGGAGAAAGCTGATGCAGAAGTTGTTTCCCTACGATGTCAACTTGAGTCGGTATCTCTCTCTAAGCTTACCGTTGATGAGAAAGCAGCTCACCTAGATGACGCCCTAAAAGAGTGCATGAAGCAGATAAGAATTGTAAAGGAAGAAAGTGAGCATAAACTGCAGGAGGTGATTCTTATGAAATCTCATCAATGGGAGAAAAGCAAGTTAGAACTTGAAGCTCAAATAGACAATTTGGATGAAGGACTACGTCTGTTAGCCAGTGAAAATGCTGCCCTTCTAAGATCACTTCAAGAAAGTTCAAACAAAATAGTGAAACTAAAAGAAGAAAAGTCTGAAGCCGAGGGAGAGGTCGAGCTTCTAACGAAGAGTGTTCAGTCAAAAGAGAAAGAAATATCTTCTTTGAAGTATGAGGTGCATGTAATTTCTAAGGAGCTAGATATCCGAAACGAAGAGAAGAATATGATTATGAGATCTGCAGAAGTGGCAAACAAGCAGCACACAGAGGATGTCAAGAACATTGTCAAGCTAGAGAATGAGTGCCAACGACTTCGTGGTCTGTTGAGAAAGAAATTACCTGGGGCTGCTGCGTTGGCACAAATGAAGCTAGAAGTTGAGAGTTCACATTATGTCATCAGTGCATTCCATCCCAGAAAAACTCCTTCAAAAAGTGATATCCTGCAAGAATCTGAGTTTCTTTCCAAAAAATTACAGGTGTTGGAAGAAGAAACAATGACATTGAAAGGAGCATTGGCCTCAAGTAATGCTGAACTGCAGGCTTCTAAAAACTTGTATGCTAAAACAGTTGGCAGACTTAAGCACTTGGAAGCAGAGAGGCATCAAGAAAGAAGCACCCAGAAAGCAATTTTGGCAAACAATTATGAAAACTCCTTTAGAAGAATTTACAGCTACTCACCGAGCATTACTTCTATCTCTGATAATGGACATGAGGATCCAGAAAGTCCTGTTGAGTCCTGTGCAACATCAATTATTGACCATTCTGATATAAATAGAATTGGAAGTGTAGGTAAATTTGAGAATCATAGGAGTGAAACTGTCTCAGAACTGATGGATGACTTTTTGGAAGTGGAGAAGATGGCATGTTTATCAGACAATGGTGGTGTACCTCTTGGCATCATTAGTAAAACTAGAGATACAGCCGAAGATAAAAAGGAGACTAGTTGTTTATCTTCAAATCAAAATTGTTTTGACACGACGAACCAAACTGAAAGTAATAACCCCGATAAGGCAGCTGAACATGATGTGTATATGCAAGATCTTGAAGAAAAAAAGCTGATGTTACAGGAAAACATGCAACTTCTAGAAGAACTGAAAGCACAATTGGCGTCGTCCCACAAATCATGCAGTTTAACTGAAATTCAGCTGAAATGTATGACCGAGTCTTACAAGTCGCTTCAAACTCGTGTAGAGGAGTTAGAAACTGAAAATAAGTATTTAAAGGAAAAGATGGATGAGCTAAAGAATGATCTTACAGAGGAAAAACAAAGTCATCACGATGCTTTGGTGAGATACAAAGAAATTGAGGAGAAAATGCAAAGGTTAGCTCTGAGCCTTAATCGGAAACAATGACATGATTTTTAAACTGTATAATTCGAGCTCTGTTTCTTCAATTTGATATGTGATCCTTTCTAAAATTTTGGTGTGTTTGCCACTTGAAGGGACCCGTGCTCGGTGTGTGCATCGAATTCAACAGCAAACTCCGGGAAGGTATGTACATTTTCATCTTCAAATAAAACTGTTGTTTGATGCAACTCCTGTCATATGTTTGTCTTTGTTTGAACTTGGTAAAATAAACCTCTTTTGTTTAACGTAAAAGAAGCAATTATGTCCTTTTTCTCCTCGGTGTTTTCTAACCTCTTCATGACAACAGGATAAAGAGCTAGCAGCTGCAGAGAAAAGGCTGGCAGAATGCCAGGAGACTCTTTCTATACTTGGTAGACAGTTGCAAGCCATGTGTCCCCAGATAGGTGTAACCACGACCCATCATAGTAAAAGGCTTCAAGTGAATGAAAAGTTAGCCAAACCATCTTATGGCTGGTCTAATTCTTACGGATCCTGTAACTCAAATGAAATTGAGCATGCTGAGGCATGTAGCGTTGTGGCTGATGAGTTTTCATCTCAAAACTCTGGTGCGACATCATGCCTTTCTGACACCGAAGGCAACTTTTGGTTAAACTCTTAAGTTATATGCTTTCTGAATCAAATTCCTATTCTTCTGCCTCTGCTGCATGGAAGAATCAATAAATTCTCATAGTTAGCAGAGAGAAGTAGTCACTAATATTTTTACTTTCGTTGTCTTGATCGTTGGGAGCTCCCCAATGATGTTGTACATAGGTTCATGTGTGTCTGTATTTCTCTTCAATATATAGATTTTGATTTTGGGTAAACATAGCATCCCAAGTCACCTTCTGAATCCATTCCTGCCTCGTTGCACTACGTCACGCTATTGTGTCTTTTTTCATTCTTAAAAATATCATGAAAAATAACTATATTATCTTCGCACCTTTCTTATCTTAAGTTCGAGTAATGATAGAATGCCATGTATTTATATTTATTTGACACATAAAAAAGTAAAATGGTTATAAAAAATAAATTTTTGTAGTTTTTTTAAAAAAAGTAAAAAGTAAAAAATGAGAAAATATAGTATGAAATGAATATAAAAGAATTCATGTGTGTCGAACTATTAAGTGCAACTAAGATAATATTTATGTCTTAATACTTTTTTCTTAAAATCGCGTTTTATAACCTTCATCTTCATTACTGTTTATATTTTTTCCAACAAATCTTTTTAATCAACCTTATTTTTCTTCAAATTAAAAAATAAAAATAAAAAGACAAAAATGTGAAAAATTAAGTTTTGGAGAATAAAGGAGGAATATGAATTTTAGATTTACGATGAGACGTTTAATAATGGAAAAAGGAACCAAGAAATAAATATTAAACTAAAATCACAAATAAAGAGGAATCAACATAAAAGGAGGAGAGGAAGGTGGTGTTAGAAAGAATTATCTGAAAAGGAGAATAAAATAGGAAAGCGAAAGGTATATTTAGTAACAGGGGCCCATAAGTATCACTAACTTAAACTAATCTTCTAAAGCCCATTTAGGCACTTATTGGGCTCTAATGGTCCGGGCCCGNGCCAACGACTTCGTGGTCTGTTGAGAAAGAAATTACCTGGGGCTGCTGCGTTGGCACAAATGAAGCTAGAAGTTGAGAGTTCACATAATGTCATCAGTGCATCCCATCCCAGAAAAACTCCTTCAAAAAGTGATAGCCTGCAAGAATCTGAGTTTCTTTCCAAAAAATTACAGGTGTTGGAAGAAGAAACAAGGACATTGAAAGGAGCATTGGCCTCAAGTAATGCTGAACTGCAGGCTTCTAAAAACTTGTATGCTAAAACAGTTGGCAGACTTAAGCACTTGGAAGCAGAGAGGCATCAAGAAAGAAGCACCCAGAAAGCAATTTTGGCAAACAATTATGAAAACTCCTTTAGAAGAATTTACAGCTACTCACCGAGCATTACTTCTATCTCTGATAATGGACATGAGGATCCAGAAAGTCCTGTTGAGTCCTGTGCAACATCAATTATTGACCATTCTGATATAAATAGAATTGGAAGTGTAGGTAAATTTGAGAATCATAGGAGTGAAACTGTCTCAGAACTGATGGATGACTTTTTGGAAGTGGAGAAGATGGCATGTTTATCAGACAATGGTGGTGTACCTCTTGGCATCATTAGTAAAACTAGAGATACAGCCGAAGATAAAAAGGAGACTAGTTGTTTATCTTCAAATCAAAATTGTTTTGACACGACGAACCAAACTGAAAGTAATAACCCCGATAAGGCAGCTGAACATGATGTGCATATGCAAGATCTTGAAGAAAAAAAGCTGATGTTACAGGAAAACATGCAACTTCTAGAAGAACTGAAAGCACAATTGGCGTCGTCCCACAAATCATGCAGTTTAACTGAAATTCAGCTGAAATGTATGACCGAGTCTTACAAGTCGCTTCAAACTCGTGTAGAGGAGTTAGAAACTGAAAATAAGTATTTAAAGGAAAAGATGGACGAGCTAAAGAATGATCTTACAGAGGAAAAACAAAGTCATCACGATGCTTTGGTGAGATACAAAGAAATTGAGGAGAAAATGCAAAGGTTAGCTCTGAGCCTTAATCGGAAACAATGACATGATTTTTAAACTGTATAATTCGAGCTCTGTTTCTTCAACTTGATATGTGATCCTTTCTAAAATTTTGGTGTGTTTGCCACTTGAAGGGACCCGTGCTCGGTGTGTGCATCGAATTCAACAGCAAACTCCGGGAAGGTATGTACATTTTCATCTTCAAATAAAACTGTTGTTTGATGCAACTCCTGTCATATGTTTGTCTTTGTTTGAACTTGGTAAAATAAACCTCTTTTGTTTAACGTAAAAGAAGCAATTATGTCCTTTTTCTCCTCGGTGTTTTCTAACCTCTTCATGACAACAGGATAAAGAGCTAGCAGCTGCAGAGAAAAGGCTGGCAGAATGCCAGGAGACTCTTTCTATACTTGGTAGACAGTTGCAAGCCATGTGTCCCCAGATAGGTGTAACCACGACCCATCATAGTAAAAGGCTTCAAGTGAATGAAAAGTTAGCCAAACCATCTTATGGCTGGTCTAATTCTTACGGATCCTGTAACTCAAATGAAATTGAGCATGCTGAGGCATGTAGCGTTGTGGCTGATGAGTTTTCATCTCAAAACTCTGGTGCGACATCATGCCTTTCGGACACCGAAGGCAACTTTTGGTTAAACTCCTAAGTTATATGCTTTCTGAATCAAATTCCTATTCTCCTGCCTCTGCTGCATGGAAGAATCAATAAATTCTCATAGTTAGCAGAGAGAAGTAGTCACTAAAATTTTTACTTTCGTTGTCTTGATCGTTGGGAGCTCCCCAATGATGTTGTACATAGGTTCATGTGTGTCTGTATTTCTCTTCAATATATAGATTTTGATTTTGGGTAAACATAGCATCCCAAGTCACCTTCTGAATCCATTCCTGCCTCGTTGCACTACGTCACGCTATTGTGTCTTTTTTCATTCTTAAAAATATCATGAAAAATAACTATATTATCTTCGCACCTTTCTTATCTTAAGTTCGAGTAATGATAGAATGCCATGTATTTATATTTATTTGACACATAAAAAAGTAAAATGGTTATAAAAAATAAATTTTTGTAGTTTTTTTAAAAAAAGTAAAAAGTAAAAAATGAGAAAATATAGTATGAAATGAATATAAAAGAATTCATGTGTGTCGAACTATTAAGTGCAACTAAGATAATATTTATGTCTTAATACTTTTTTCTTAAAATCGCGTTTTATAACCTTCATCTTCATTACTGTTTATATTTTTTCCAACAAATCTTTTTAATCAACCTTATTTTTCTTCAAATTAAAAAATAAAAATAAAAAGACAAAAATGTGAAAAATTAAGTTTTGGAGAATAAAGGAGGAATATGAATTTTAGATTTACGATGAGACGTTTAATAATGGAAAAAGGAACCAAGAAATAAATATTAAACTAAAATCACAAATAAAGAGGAATCAACATAAAAGGAGGAGAGGAAGGTGGTGTTAGAAAGAATTATCTGAAAAGGAGAATAAAATAGGAAAGCGAAAGGTATATTTAGTAACAGGGGCCCATAAGTATCACTAACTTAAACTAATCTTCTAAAGCCCATTTAGGCACTTATTGGGCTCTAATGGTCCGGGCCCGATCTCAAAATTTACTAAGTTGCAATCTACGTCAAACACAAAACGGTGTCGCGTCAGCTATATATTACCTGCAAAGCCAAAACCCTAGCTTCCGATCTATCCTTCTTCCCTCCCCGCGGCGCACTCAAACACAGGCTAGTGAATCGGAATGGGAAGGGTAATTCGCGCGCAGCGTAAGGGTGCGGGGTCCGTTTTCAAGTCCCACACCCACCACCGCAAGGGTCCGGCGAGGTTCCGCAGCCTCGACTTTGGCGAACGCAACGGCTACCTGAAGGGAGTGGTCACCGATATCATCCACGATCCCGGTCGAGGTGCCCCTCTTGCGAAGGTCACTTTCCGCCATCCCTTCCGCTACAAGAAGCAGACAGAACTATTCGTTGCGGCCGAAGGTCTATATACTGGCCAGTTCCTCTACTGCGGCAAGAAGGCAACCCTCGTAGTTGGCAACGTCTTGCCCCTCCGATCCATCCCCGAGGGTGCCGTCATCTGCAATGTTGAACACCATGTAGGTGATCGCGGTGTCTTCGCCAGAGCATCCGGTGACTACGCCATTGTTATCAGCCACAACCCCGATAATGACACCTCAAGGTTCCTACTCTCACCTTTACATTTTGTCTCAGGATTATTGCTTTGCGTAATGGCGGTATTTTATTTTATGTTACTGTTAACGAAGGTTAGTGATGCAATACCATTTATTTATTTATTAAAAAAATACAAAACTGAATTATAACCTGTAATCCTTTACATAATCAGGGAAGTGAAAGCTTGGCATTTAGTTCAGTTCTGCAAGAATAATGTTCATAACAGAAAATAAGAAGAAAATTAAATAAAATTGTCCGGTAGTTTTAATTAGCTTATTGATGAGTTAAAAATAAGTGTTTAAAGAAGCTAATGGTGTTGAACTTGCCCAAATTAGCTGATAGAAAATTAATTATTTTTAACTTATTTTTTTCTTCTAAAGTGTACAAAGCGGCCTGTCGTGTTCTTATTGTAGAGCAAGTTATATTCTCAATACCAATTCTGTATGTTTATGTAATATCTATCGTTTTGGTCATTTTAGAGGAGATTGATTTTGTAAAGTGGATGTTTGCTCCATGGGAAACTGTGCAAGTGTTTGAATGCATTTTTGCACTCTTTTGGCAGGATCAAGCTTCCTTCTGGAGCGAAGAAGATTGTGCCGAGTGCATGTAGGGCAATGATTGGGCAAGTTGCGGGTGGAGGGAGAACTGAGAAGCCTCTTCTTAAGGCTGGTAATGCTTACCACAAGTTTAGAGTGAAGAGGAACTGCTGGCCTAAGGTGCGTGGTGTGGCTATGAACCCAGTTGAGCATCCTCACGGAGGAGGTAACCACCAGCACATTGGGCATGCTAGTACTGTCAGACGTGATGCTCCTCCTGGCCAGAAGGTTGGTCTCATTGCCGCCAGGAGAACTGGTCGTCTTAGGGGGCAAGCTGCCGCCACTGCTTCTAAAGCTGACAAGACTACTTAAGGAGATTGTTAAAGATATGCTTAATTACAAATTTTCAAATTTTGTTTCTTTGATAGTTTTTGTTCAACTTTTGGCTACTATTTTGAGTACCATTTTCACCATTAATATGAAAGCTTGTATTGTGCGGTGTTTTATATTTTCAGTACCATCCAATCCTACTGTTTGTCAATCATTTGATGATTTGATCTAGTTGGAACTAGGAACGTTCTAGTATGGTTTCTTTCCTTTTGTAGACCATTATTTCATTGATCAACTTAGTCTTGTTTGCCAGTACTGTAGTCCTGTTTTTCTTTCGTTAGTGATTTGAATTAAACATTCCTGGCTAAACACAATAAAATTAATAGCATATATTATACTCATAATTAATGTATTTTTAATAACAAATATATAATATTTATTTTAATAATTTTATTAATGATTTCAACAATGACTTAGAAATTCCTCTTAAACATGGATTGCTCAAGTTATGGGTGATACAATGGTCAATTGGGTTCGTTTTAGCTCGATTTGATATCGAGTTAGCCTGACTCATAAGAAGGATGGTTGGTGAGCTATTCTGTCAGTTTTGATCAATATAAGTTACTAATCACCAGAATTATTAAATCTTTGCCAAATTAAAATGAATCGAAATTCTAGTCAGTATTACAATACTAGCATCACAAAATGAATCCAAATCCAAAGTCATTACAATTCACTTGTACACACAATATTAACAATTTCTATTATAGAATCACAAATAAAGAAAACATAATAAATTCAGGGCAAAATTAGGTCAAAATCAACAAATTGCAAATGGCTCAACACAATCTAGAATTTTCTCAACACAAAGTAGGGAAAAATGCTTCAAATTAGGACAAAATCATAAAAAGGACAATTTCATATTAGGAAAAAAACTCGAAATTTATATAAAACGATGTATTCGTGGTTGTAGCTCGTGTCTGACTCCTTGTGACTGCTGCTCTCCCTCATATCGTGTGTGACTGATAGTGGTGGTTCATGTCTGACTAGTTGTGATGGCTCGCGTTTGCGATGGATAGTCTTATTGTGTCGCGTTTTGATCATGGTCGTGGCTCGCAACTGCCATTGATAAGGTGGAGTGGTTTGTCGTGATGGTGGGACTGAGGGCCAATAAGTGAATGTGAGATGGATGAGAGATGATAACATTATGAGCAAGACCACGTGATGCTCCAATTTTTTTTTATCAAAACGGGTCATGAGTTTGTCTGGCTTGACCTATAGACTGACTTGACGGGTTAACAGGATTGGCAGGCCAGGCTAGATTAGGTTTGTAGGTTGAAAATTCTATCCTGATACAACTTTTTTGTACTAGCTGACGGACTGGCCTGTCATGCCTGGCCCATTATACCAACCCTAAATGAGATTTTCATTTTACACACCTCAATCTTGTGCATTCTTTTTTTTTTCTTTTTCTTTCTTATATTCTTTATTTGAAATATAATATCAATTAAATTTATATTTGACATAAAATAGAATTAAATATATTTTTAATCATAAACTTAAACGTGAAATTAAAATTCATACTTGTTCTAAATTGTGATGTTTTTTTCCCTCTAAGTTTTTAAACTGTTTACCATAGGAACAAATTCCAATTATTTAAGTTTGAAGATTAAAAAATATTTAATGCTATAAAGTATAATTGGGTTAAACTACTTTACTTCATTGATTTTCTCTTTTTCCTTTATCATTTCCTATTTTCTTATTTTATTAAAGAAGATTTTTTATCCCCTTATACATATTTTTATTAATAAATTTAATGTTTATTATATATATTATTAAAAATTAAAATAATAATTATAATAGTAATATTTTTTAAATTTATAAAAATGATGTTTTTTTCTTATGTATACATATATAAATAAATAATTTTTATTTTTTATTATATATTAATTAATGAGAGGGAGAATCAATTTTATTATTTAGATAAGGTTTAATCATTCGCGAGGTCTGTTTTTGGAATGAGAATCTCAAATTGATCTTTTTTTTTGACGTCTCAATTGGGTTTTTTGTAAAAATTGAAACAATTACAACTCTGCCATTAAATTAGTCCTACCAACGTTAATGTAAGATTGACGTGACATGGTCATGTATGTTTTTAATTGACTTGGATTGCATTATTTGGTGTAAGTGATTCTTAAATGCATATTTTATTTTATTTTTTTAAAAATAAATTAGAAAGAATGAATGAAATATTAGGAATGAATTTCAGAAATTTGGAATTGAATTTGTTAGAATTAGGGGATTGAATTTATTTGAATTAGAGATTGAATTTGTTCGAATTAGGGATTGAATTTCTTTGAATTAGAGATTGAATTTGTTCGAATTAGAGATTGGGAAAAAGGTAGTGGGAAATTATGGATTATCAACCACCACCTCGTGCTATTCATCTCCATTGCGTCAGTGCTTCTTTTCTATCCTCATCCACTTGTAGAGGAAAGAAAGAGAAAAACCCAGAAACATATCCAATGAAAACCTAATTCTTCCAAGTCGCAACAATTGTGCGAGCATCAACCACAACCACTAGTTCACCATGGAACCCTAATATAGAACCAAGTTCGTTCCTCCTCA